TGAAAAAGCACAAGATCAAATCCGCACAGACACACCCCTGGAACCCCGACCTGGGATATTCTATCTACTACCCAAGATCCATAAACCTGGAAATCCTGGGCGCCCTATCATTTCAGGCATTGGCACCCTGACAGCAGTATTGTCTGGCTATGTAGACTCCCTCCTCAGGCCCTACGCTACCAGCACTCCCAGCTACCTTCGAGACACCACTGACTTCCTGAGGAAACTACAATCCATCGGTGATCTTCCTGATAACACCATCCTGGCCACTATGGATGTAGAAGCCCTCTACACCAACATTCCACACAAAGATGGAGTACAAGCCGTCAATAACACTATCCCCGATAATGTCACGGCTAACCTGGTGGCCGAACTTTGTGACTTTGTCCTTACCCATAACTATTTTAATTTGGGGACAATGTATACCTTCAAATCAGCGGCACTGCTATGGGTACCCGCATGGCCCCACAGTATGCCAACATTTTTATGGTTGACTTAGAACAATGCTTCCTCAGCTCTCGTCCCCTAACGCCCCTACTCTACTTGCGTTATATTGATGATATCTTCATCATCTGGACCCATGGAAAAGAAGCCCTTGAGGAATTCCACCATAATTTCAACAATTTCCATCCCACCATCAACCTCAGCCTGGTCCAGTCCACACAAGAGATCCACTTCCTGGACACTGCAGTGCTAATAAACGATGGTCACATAAACACCACCCTATACCAGAAACCTACTGACCGCTATTCCTATCTACATGCCTCCAGCTTTCACCCTGACCACACCACACGATCCATCGTCTACAGCCAAGCTCTGCGATACAACCGCATTTGCTCCAATCCCTCAGACAGAGACAAACACCTACAGGATCTCTATCAAGCATTCTTACAACTACAATACCCCCTGCTGAAGTGAAGAAACAGATTGACAGAGCCAGAAAAGTACCCAGAAGTCACCTACTACAGGACAGGCCCAACAAAGAAAATAACAGAACGTCACAAGCCATCACCTTCAGCTCCCAACTAAAACCTCTCCAACGCATCATCAAGGATCTACAACCTATCCTGAAGGACAACCCATCACTGTCACAGATCTTGGGAGACAGGCCAGTCCTTGCTTATAGACAGCCCCCCAACCTGAAGCAAATACTCACCAGCAACCACATACCACACAACAGAACCACTAACCCAGGAACCTATCCTTGCAACAAAGCCCGTTGCCAACTGTGTCCACATATCTATTCAGGGGACACCATCACAGGGCCTAATAACATCAGCCACACTATCAGAGGCTCGTTCACCTGCACATCCACCAATGTGATATATGCCATCATGTGCCAGCAATGCCCCTCTGCCATGTACATTGGTCAAACTGGACAGTCTCTACATAAAAGAATAAATGGACACAAATCAGATGTCAAGAATTATAACATTCATGAACCAGTCGGAGAACACTTCAATCTCTCTGGTCACGCGATTACAGACATGAAAGTTGCTATATTACAACAAAAAAACTTCAAATCCAGACTCCAGCGAGAGACTGCTGAATTGGAATTCATTTGCAAATTGGATATAATTAACTTAGGCTTGAATAGAGACTGGGAATGGCTAAGTCATTATGCAAGGTAACCTATTTCCCCTTGTTTTTTCCTACCTCCCCCCTCCCGACGTTCTTGTTAAACCCTGGATTTGTGCTGGAAATGGCCCACCTTGATTATCATACACATTGTAAGGAGAGTGGTCACTTTAGACAAGCTATTACCAACAGGAGAGTGGGTTTGTGTGTGGAGGGGGCGGGGTGAGAAAACCTGGATTTGTGCTGGAAATGGCCCAACTTGATTATCATACACATTGTAAGGAGAGTGATCACTTTAGATAAGCTATTACCAGCAGGAGAGTGGGGTGGGGGGAGGTATTTTTTCATGCTTTGTGTGTATAAAAAGATCTTCTACACTTTCCACAGTATGCATCTGATGAAGTGAGCTGTAGCTCACGAAAGCTTATGCTCAAATAAATTGGTTAGTCTCTAAGGTGCCACAAGTACTCCTTTTCTTTTTACTGACCATTTACAAGATCTGCTGTTTAGTTTACAAACTTTAGAGGGCAAAGTCTGACCTGAACTAGCAGTTATTTACCTGCATCTTTCCAGCTAGAATCAATAGGGGTTTTACATATTATCGTCCATGCACTGATCTGAGAATGTAAACCGTATTTACTTCATTTAAATAAAAGGTTGATCGTTAAGATTGTTGTTTATCACAGATGAAAACACTTTACAAAGTAACCTGAATTCCTGATACAGCTGATTATTCCAATCCACTGGTAATATTTTGAATTAAAAGATGGGTACCTTTTATTTATTAGTTCTTGGTTTTTGTGAGATGTGTATGCCAATTCCCAGTAAAGAAAATATAACATACTTGTTAGGGGGCTTATTCCTTCACCCACTTACTTCCCTGGTCCTTCTCGCATGAACAGAGAGCAACAATACCCGAAGTCCAAAAGTGCAAACAATTCGATGTTTATTGGGGTGAACTTCCAGCAAGCATGATTCCAGTTTCCTTCCTTAGTGTCCTCCTTCCCAGCTCTGACACCACAGAGCCTTACACCTGTGTCCGTGTTCCCATTCCTGCCCTTAGCCAAACATGATTCCAATTTCCCCACTCCCATTCCCTGTTCCCATTTCCCCCTTTAGCAAAACATGATTCCAATTTCCCCACTCCCATTCCCTGTTCCTGTCTCCCTCACCCACACACCCACACACTCACTTCCTGATTGACTGCTGACTATATAGTAAAACTTGAGTTCAGCTTAGCTATACCTAAACCAATCATTTTCCTGAAATTTAACTAACGAATCCTAACATATTGTAACATGATTATGTAACCAATTATATCCCACCACCTTAATTAGTTTACACCCAGCAAAATTAATTATACATCAGTCAGAAACAATCACAGAACCAGACAGAGATTATACAGACAAACAATAGCAAAGTGGGAACTATGATGACAAAACAATACAGAAGTGAGGATTTCACATCCCAGCTATGGATATGTGAGTTCTTGCCAGACAGGATGCTATCAAACTAAGTTTCCTTTTACATCTTCTAGGCACTTCCCGTTCTTTGGAGGCGATCAGCATTATCAGGACAGGATTGTATTCCTAACAGCCCAATAGCACCTTCTTTCAATGTGACTAGTTTGGAATGTGAGGATGTGACCATTCACTTCCCAGCTTATGGCTGCCTCTGCTGCTTAGCCAAAGGCCTTAGCCTAAGAACAGGGCCTCAGACTGTCACAGTAAGAGAAGGCCCTTACACTGGCAGACAGTGATTTTGATTCTTTCTTTTATACCTCTAACTAGTCAAGTGATAAGAATACACCTAAATTCTTAAAGTACAGGCCTTTGCAGACAGGCCTGAATATCTATATCCTAACAATACTGTAAATGTTTGTTGAATATTTTCAGACGCTTTCCTTCACCCTCCCAGAAGTGTTTCTGGGGTCAGATAACTTGGGTCCTGATTCAGCACTGCAGGTATGAGCATCTTCTGCAAGGTGCTAAACTTCCATAATTCCCATGCTGGTGAGTTGTGGCCATTTAACACCTTGCAGAACTGCATTCTTATGTCCTGACTGAGGAAAAACACTTAAGCACATGCTTAAATTCATCCTTGTTTAAGAAAGCTTAAGCATGTGCTTAAGTACCCTTCCTGAATAGAGATGCTTTACTCAATCGGGAAGGTATGTGAGATATAATAGGCTTTGTCTGGATGGAGATGTGGATCAAATTATAGTGGACCACCAGGTCTTCTAGTGTTATGATTTATTTAGTCTCAAGAAACAACTCAGAATAGTCTTTGATTCTAGTTATTGTCTCCTATTTGCCATTGTACTTTTTAGAGCCAAATATCCTCATATTTCTACATTTAGGTTGATACTCCATGATGTCTCCCTTTTGCTGTAAAGAAGTGTTTTGTTTTTTTTTAAACTATAGTGGTGGATAGAGGTTCATGTCTATGAAATCAGGTTTCTTGTTCTCACATTGTACACTCATAGCCTAAAGATCCTCATCAGTTTGTCCCCAATTGTCTCTAGTCTAAATCAGGTTAGAAATAGTTAGTTACATTGCTGCAAACCCCTGGAATAGACTCTCCTAAGAATGCCTTAAATTGATTTAGATTAAATGGATTTATGTGGCAGTGATTTAACTAAATTGGTTTCTAAACAGATTTAGTTACATTGATGCACAAACTGTATGTAAACAAAGCCCTAAAGGAGACTGATGTTTTTAAGTTGGAATCACACCTCTACTCCATTGTCCTGGTGACCCTTAGAAAACCAATGACAGAAATTTGAGGGTTTCTTTGCCCCTAAAGAATTCCCCAAAGATATTGCAACAGTGTATTGCGGAGATTCCATGTTTTTATGAGATCCTTCTCAAGGAACTCCCTTTCATCTCCTCCTCCAAGGATGTCACCTGGTGGAAGCGACAGTTAATAAAATAGCATAAATAGCTGCAAATCCCTGTATCTCTAAAGGGAGTCCTGGGTACCAAAGAAAGTTGGGCAATTTTTTGGAGGGGCAAATACTAAATTCACCAAAAAATGCATTTCAGGGGGACACTGCAACTTTTTGCAAATTTTGTTCAAATTTGGCAAATAGTTTAGGTTGGAAAAAAAAAACTTCAAAACTGATAATTTTCACAGTGAACTATTCTGACATTTTGCTGTAGAAATGTCTATTCAAATCAACCTGAACAATTTTTTTCTGATTTCAGTTTTGATGAGAAAAACCCTAACAAATCAGTTTTGGTTTGAAACTAAACAGTCTTTTTTGGATTTCTCAGATCTTCCACTGAACCAAAAAAATCAAGTATTTGCTCAATGGTATATAAGAGCCTCACTGCCTTCGATAGAAGCACTATACTTGGAAGCCACAGTGGGGAAGTGAGAAGAATGGTGCTTCACTACTTCAGAGGAATGTGGGTGGAATAACCTCAAAGTTTTGTTTTAAATTTTCAGTGTCTCTATAATCCTTTCTCTCTTCTCCAGGCGCTGAGGATATGTGGGGTGCATACAGCGACATGCGGGAGGCGAATTATAAAAATTCAGATAAATATTTCCATGCTCGTGGGAATTATGATGCTGGTCAAAGAGGGCCTGGCGGTAAATGGGCAGCAGAAGTTATTAGGTAATGGATTCCACTTGGATTGTGAGTTAAAAGTCGGCAGAGAGCTATGCAATCAAATTACTGTGAAGTACATTGTACTTCATAACTAGTTATTGTCCTGTTTGAAGCGAGGACATTTTTATTTAACCTCTGAACTGGCTAAGTGTGAAGACTGTGCCCATTCTTGAGTTGTAAAGGAGGTTTCTGAGCTGACCTATTTAGAAATATTCTGATATCAGATCTCAGTACTATGTGCAGGGAGGCCGATGTTTTCACCACAGGGCTTTTAAAATTTAAATAATCGCAGGACCTCACTTTAATCTAGAATTGGTACATATTGTCCTTGGTATTTCATCCAAAGAAACTATGATCATAGGTTCACTTGCAGTCCTCTAATGAGGATTGTTTTCAAATGTTGACTTTGAACATGATGACTATGATACAAAGGAGCTTATATCTTAGTGGAGGCAAATAATGGGAAAGCTTTTCAATTCACAACTACTGCAGTGATGCACTTCTGGGATGACTCCTGCTATTTAGAGACAGGCTAAGATTTGTGTCTGTGACAAGGTAAGTGAGCTAATATCTTTTACTGGAATAACTTCTGTTGGTGAGGTGTTTGTGCATGTCCTCAATTTTATGGAAAAGTAGGGATTAAACTATGGGGGATAAGTGTAAAGTAAATAATTTAGTTAATGATATTTAACTATAAACCGTCTAGGATAACCTTTGTTTCCTCTTTCCAGTGATGCCAGGGAAGGTTGGCAGGGTGACATTAGCGGCAGAGGAGCTGAAGTCACACGTCAAGACCAGGAGGCAAATGCATGGGGCAGAAGTGGAGGAGACCCAAACCGCTACAGACCAGAGGGCCTTCCCTCGAAATACTAATGCGGCCTGTAATACTTTACAATGGTTCTATTTTTCTACCAGCTGTGCAAAACCTCAATAAATAAAATCTTAAATTTCTGAAGCTGTCAGTGAATGAACAAACACCCTCGGCTACATTAGAAAGGATAAAAAGCAATATACATACAAATCTTCATGATTTGGGGCCAAAGGTATCCCTTAACTGCCCGGGATTTTGAAGAATCTTCCAGATTATTTAATGATTGCCCTTTACTTGATTTGTTGCGTATTCCTGTGAAGCAGCGGGCACTGGCCACTGTCAGAGACAGGCTCCTGGGCTATTGTGATACATTATGATAATTCTCCTTTTTATTGTTGTCCCCATTTACAGACAGGGATCTGAGAGATGTTAATTGACTTGCCTAATGTCACAGGGGCGTCTATAGCAGAGCTAGGAATGGAGTCCAGTCCTCTAACCATAAAAGCATCCTACCTGGCTAATTAGTTCGGGATGTACAAAGTTTTAGGTATCATGGCAAAAACATGGCCAATGGGGGCTGCGGGAAGCAGCGCGGGCCAAGGGACTTGCTGGCCACCCTTCCCGCAGACCCCATTGGCCTGGAGTGGCGAACCGTGGCCAGTGGGAGTGGTGAACCGCGGCCAGTGGGAGCCGCGATCAGCTGAACCTGCGGACGCGGCAGGTAAACAAACCAGTCCGGCCTGCCAGGGGCTTTCCCTGAACAAGTGGCGGACCGGCTTTGAGAACCACTGATCTAACCAATTGAGGCTATGTCCGCACTACAAGTTCAAAGCGCTGCCGCAGGTGCCAATGTCTGGATTAGCTCTGAGCACTGGGAGCCGAGCCTGTTCACAGTAGCGCTTTAAAGTGCTCAAACTTGTTGCGCTCGGGGGTGTGTGTGTATGCGTGTGTTTTCACACCCCTGGGCCAGCAAGTTAGAGCTCTTTAACTTGCTAGTGTAGATCATCCCTGAGATTTAATTCAGTGAAACATTTTACATATATCCCCTCAGAAACAAAGAATTCCTTATCACTGTATCTGATTGCATAGAGTCTCATCGTCATTTCCCAAGTTGTCTTATCTGCTGCTGGGATTCCCTGAATTTTTTATTCTAATTTTTTCATCTTATTTTTAAAGCAGATGTTTATTCTGTTTGATTATCTGACGTCCACTCTGACTGAATTTCTGGCCTAGTGTCAAAACTTTGTTTTGATTCAATCCACCAATGGGGATTGCATTTTTGCAACTGTTATTTTGCCTCTCAGTCCAGCCCTTAGTGTTTTTCTGCATTCCATTGCTTGTGTGTACAACTTGATTCTCAAATATTCAATAAAGACAGTATACTATCTCCTATAACATCTTTCTCAAAGGCAAAAATCTATTGCAATTTTTGCTGAACATTAGAACTCCAATAGTGGATCAGACAAATAGTCCGTCTAGTCTAGTATCCTGTCTTCTGACAGCGGCCAGTGCCAGGTGCTTCTAAGGGAATGAACAGAACAGGCAATCACTGAGTGAACCATCCCATTGTCCACTCCCAGCATCTGGCAGTCAGAGGAGGGTTTAGGGACACACAGAGCATGGAGCTGCATCCCTGATTATCTTAAGAATGGCCCTACTGGGTCAGACCAAGGGTCCATCTAGCCCAGTATCCTGTCTTCTGTCAGTGGTCAGTGCCAGGTGCCCCAGAGGGAATGAACAGAACAGGTAATCATCAAGTGATCCATCCCATGTCGCTCATTGCTAATTTCTGGCAAACAGAGGCTAGGGACACCATTCCTGCCCATCCTGGCTAATACCTATCCTCCATTAATTTATCTAGTTCATTTTTTGAACCCTGTTATGGTCTTGGTCTTCACAACATCCTCTGGCAAGGAGTTCCACAGGTTTGACTTTGTGTTCAGTGTGAAGAATAATTCCTTTTGTTTGTTTTAAACCTGCTGCCTATTAATTTCATTTGGTGACCCCTAGTTCTTGTGTTATGATAAGTAGTAAACAACACTTCCTTATCTACTTTCTCTACACCAGTCATGATTTTATAGACCTCAATCATAAATCACCACCAGAGCCCTATGGTAGCAGCAGCTGTAGCAGCAGCCAGGAGCCCCAGGGCTCTGGTGGTGATTTAAAGGGCCCGGGGCTCCCAGCATGATTCAGCCTAATATGTCATTTTGTTGTCAAGGCTAATACTGTTGAATGTAGACACTTCCAAAAGCTTTGTTCATGGCAGGTATTTTGTATGAGCTATTGTCCAAGGGAAATTTTCAGAACATCTCCAAAATGCTTTTAAAGCTTGGACAATATATGAGTGAATTATTTCAGCACAGGAATGATTATTCCTTTTTAGGAGAATATACCCAGTTAACTTTCCATACATCATGAGAACTTATGAAAGGGCGAGGTGGTGGATTATGTATTTAATATGTCTTCAGTCAGATGTCCTACTGTCCTACTTCAATAATATATAAAGTTTCCATTGCTGAGAAATCACTTGTGAGCTTTACATAGAATCTCAAGTTACAGAGTGGTGGTGAAAGAAGTAAAATAGTCATAAATAATTGAAAAGAACAAACTATGACATCTGGAACATAGAGGAAGAAATTTGACACCTTCAGGGAAGAAATTCTGCAGAAGAAGCCAACCAGTGAGGGGGTTCAAAGCGAGATTGGTCAACAGGGCATTAAGCAAGAACAATACAGCTACTGTCTGTTCTCTTTACAAGTCATAGAATTATATTGGGCTAGCATGTGGGACTGATTTAGCACTGTTTCATAAGACCTTCCCAGTCATGATGACTTTATTCAGATTACATTCCCAGAAGAATCACACTGAACATTTACAAAAACTATGTTTTAGTTTACAAACTTTAAAGGGCAAAGTCTGACCTGAAGTATCAGATACTTATCTGCATCTTTCGATTTAGAATCAACAGGAGTTTTACATTTTATCTCCCATGCACTGATCTGAAAATGTAAACTGTATTTACGCCATTTAAATAAAATTTTGAAAGTTAAGGTTAGTATTTATCAGAAATAAAAACACACTTTACAAAGTACCCTGAATTCCTGATAGAGCTGATGATTCCAATCGACTTGTAATATTTTGAATTAAAAGATTATTTTGAAACTGTTCATATAACTGCATGTAGCTTATGGCTTAGATCTTGCCAACAAAATTACACAATAAGTTAACTGCTATTCAGATAAATTAACCTCCCTTCTTAGAGATCATAATGGTGGTAATAAAAGCTAGTTGTTTTCCAAAATTCAAAATTTTGTAATATTTCCATCAAAATTTAAAAGGGAAAAAATGAAAATGTCTGCAAAGATGACATCCCATTTCTGACCAGCTCTAGTAATTAAGTTATATTATTTATTTCTATTACTATAGTCTCTTGGATCAGGACCCATTGGCTAGGCACTGTACAAACAGAACAAAAAGATGGGTTCATGCCCCAACAAGCTGATGGCAAAGGCTTCTCCAGCTACCTTTGCCATCTCTTTTGAGATCCCCTAATTACAATTATACATAAGGATATAACTGACTTGGCATTTATGGTACAAGCATGATGATTACTTAAAGCTTCTACATAAAAATATTGCTCATTTCACCAATTAAAAAAAATTAGAAGAAAGTCGAAAAAGTAACTGCCTGCAACTTCCAGTAAATGATGGACATTTCATCATATTAGGCACTAGTTAAGTAATAGATAGTTAGATCTATAGAGAGACAATACAGACATTGACCAATTCAAACCAGGAGGCCTCGAGAAGAAATAAAGGAACAATAGAAGCAATGTTGGCATTCAACAAGCAAAGAATTGCCCAATTTGAATTTAGCCACGTTTCTGTAAATTATTTCCAATTTCCTCTTTGAGATAAGGCTTCCTATAAATATAGTCTTGTGAGACTCCATCAGACAGAACTCCATTTTTCCGGGGCTTTGCAATACAGCAGTGGTAAGTTTCATTCCATATGGAAACTTCATATTTGTACCACTTTACCTTGTTGTGTATTCAATTTTTGTCATAGAACTAGTGATTTTTATTATGTAAAAACTTAAGCAGAAACGAAAACTTCTATCTTTACAACTTATGTCCCAGCCTGGTGCTCGATGGCAGAGAGCATTTCATTTTTCTGAATTGAAATCAGCACTTTGGTAACACTTTTGAATTGTGTGTGACCCTGAAGATCCATGTACCTGTTCCAAAGCAGATATAAGAGGAATTTATATTATGTCTGGAGTCTTTAAAATATTGCCGAGTTTTCTGACATATATTCTCCTTCTATTACAGCCTAAAGAAGTGAACCATGAAGTTCTATAACTGCATGTTGTTATTGTCCCTGGTACTATGTGTCAGTGCCCAGAACTGGTTCACTGATGCTTTTTGGATCATTCATAAGGGATGCTTATCGAGGTATGATTTTTACTAACTGCTTGTTCTTCATCAAAACTGTCCTCAGCACGGTGTAGATATAAAGCCAAGCCAAAGACAGGAGCTCTAGAACAATTTTTGATAAATTCTGGTGAATAAGAAATTTACACAGTTCGTCACAAAAAGATACATTAGAATTTTTTTCTGATCCCTTAAAATGATGCAGTTTTAGGTCCCTCATTGGGAGTCCAAGCACAAGGCTGCCTGAACCAGAGCAAATCAGATGGCAGGTATGGGCCATAGATTGTAGAAAGTCCTATGGGTCATAATTAAACAGATATTTTCACCAGACAAGATTCACTTAACATTTAGCAAGATGTTTAACTGCAACCTGTGCACCCAGCTGACCATGTTCTGACTTTAACTGTTTCAATTTCCTCATGTGGATCTCAGAGGGGTCTAGTAAAATCTGAAGGCATATATATGCATTGATAACTAATGGATAACTTTTATTTCCTTCTCCAGAGGTGTCACCTTGTGGAAGCTTCAGTTAATAAAATAGCATAAATGGCTGCAAATCCCTGTACCTCTAAGGGGAGTCCTGAGTATCAAGGAGAGTTGGGCAATTTTTTCTTTCAAATACCAAAT